AAACTTTTATCTTATTTATTAGTGACACAATTGTTTAAGTTATTTATTTCAAATATGGAATGAATGACTATATTAAATCTAATAAATGAAATATAAAAATGTTTATAACGATTATAAATGTTCTACATCTTAACTGCCTTAAGTCTTAGTAACTAGTTCATAGACTTCTTTATCGCAATTCCATATTCATTAACTCCGAAAAAAATAAGATATTTTGTTGTTATTAGTAATTGGCTTACAAACAACCATGTCAGATTGCCCTACACTTGTCCCTCCTGGATACGTTAATTCCTAGTGAATTCGCCACAACGGGCTAACCGACCTGACTTCATGGTTATTCTATTATTATGCCCACCAGAATATTCTGTTAGAGCAGGCGGGTGTATGGTAATAGAACATTCATCCATTGAATATCAGAGCTATTTATTTAAAGTGATCATTTCTGACAGGGGCTTTACAATGTCACACGCTGTCAGCTGTAGTGCTGTGTGCTGCTTTAAATAACCACTACATGAGCTGTATTTATGCGAAAGTAGGTGAACTGAACAATTCTGATCCTTATTATGTTTCAATAGAGTTCATATGAGAGAAGTATATTTGGCTATTTTTGTTGTATTATGTGAGCGACGCGACAGGTTAATGAATTTTAATAGGCACTGAATGTTTACAAAAAATAGTGCTTACAACATACTCCTGTAGTGTTATTTACGAATGGTAACTGTGAAGAATTATCATACATATGTAAAATCGTAAATGAGCCGTATGTGTACATAAAATATTAAAAAAAAACATTTGTACACTTAATAGGTACTTTTGTTAGTATAAAATCATCATCGCCTTTTCCAATTATTTGGGATCGACGCAGTATGACTATGTATGTTATTACAAAATCTAACTGAATAATTGTAATTTCCATTTGATACATAAACGAAGCATAATAAAAAGATTCAGAATTCTATCAGATATGTTTAAAAAAATTCTGTATGAGTTCATCACAGTTTAATCTTTACTAAATTAATGTGAGCAAAGCTTCTACCTTAGAACGTGTACTATACCTGTCTTCAATCCCTTGAATAAATTTACTTAGTCAAATTAATTGAAGAGTTTTATTAACATCAAACTGACTTTGAGTAATCCGATCAGAATATGGTAGAGTGCATATTAATTTTGTGGAATTATAATAAGATTTTTACGATATAAACATTGTATTTAGAGGATGTTGTTCTAAAATCAACTAAATACAATGTTTTTTTTGTAATTTAGTTATTAACCGAAAATTGTAGATCCAAATTTCGGTATTCGTTTCAAAAAAGGTAATTTTTATATTTGTGATTTTAATAGTATAGGTATAATTTAATTAAAAGGTGCTTTTTAGTTCATGGGATTGTGCCAAATATGTCATCTATCCAACAATTAGAGCAGTATTTTATTAAGGTATAATGTAAATGAAATATACTAATAAAATAAAATAATTTATCTGAGAATCAGTTATGATAATAAATTAGTAATAAAATTAGTGATTTCATTCAATTTCTGTTTACTTATACGTTGTTATTACTACCTACTTAATTTTTTTAGGTGTCTTAATCGAAATCGAAATTTCGGTCGGACGTCACTTATTTCCGGTTGGTACACACTATTCATTACAATTTTTTTTTAATTCGCTTGGAACTGAGATGAAAACAATATAATCAAATATATATTACAAAATGAATTTACAAATACCGATATTATCGAGTAAGTAGTACAATCGAATTGAATCTCGTTTTTGAAGTCTGTTATAATATTTTTAAATTCCGGTTTTATTGGTTCCTTTCGTGGTAGTTGTTTCTTAATCTTTGGGATTCACATTGCATAATGAATGATTCATAAATTGGTGTGAGTGACATGTAATTTGTCACTTTAATCTTATTTCATAATGAAAATGTAGGTATAGCAATGTCACTCAGATTAGTCATTATTGTATGAGTAAATTACACTATATTGCATATTATCACGTCTGTATTATGTTATTGAGTTAAATTGATAACATTTACGAAATTATTATAATTTAAGAGAGGTAGACTTTGTAAAACAACCTGATCGCTGTTTGCTTTGTAAGTTATGTTTTTATAATATATAAAGCAATGAGATTTGGACTGGCAACGCATGATTGGTCTCACTGGTATCAAGTGATAACGTGGTGTCAATAGTGCTGTTTTATAAGCGGCGGTTACCACTTACCATCAGGCGAGCCGTCACCTTATTTGGCGTTCCACGAAAAAAGCCTGGCTTTCCTAAAAATCCATAACTTCAACTTTCACCCCATCTTTGTTTTCAAGGAATTATATTATAATTTATTAATTTAACTCAACTATCATTACTATCAACATTATCACCATGTCACATAAGGTCGAATATAACTGTACCGTATACATGGGCCCTTATCGAACTACTAAAATTTACATAATGATTATTATTATTGTCACTAATTCACTTTTGACCTTTAGTAATGTGAATGAACAAGTACTTTCCACGAATATGAGTCACATCTACGAGTAATATATGGAATTCCTTGACGTGGAAACAATTGTTTGGTTTGTAATTAAACGTAATGGAACATCTTAATTTCCTTAAATAGTTTGTTTATTGTACGTAAACTCCTATCTACTTAATACCTTGTCTTATAGTTTATGTAAATTCTTTTATTACCAAGCGAATTAAAGACAAATGACAATACCTCTGACTACCTAATTTGGAATAGCTCTGAAAGTATATGATATTATTTACTTATTTATTATTATATACAACTTTAGTGCACACAGTACAATAAGTATTTACATTAGTCAAATTAGCGTCATGGGATACTTTCTACCAGTCAACTATAGGAAGAGCAGAGAATAATTATTAAATTTATTTTCGGGATTAGCACCTATAATTACTATTAAAAACATATACTTTAGTGATAATATTAAAAAATGTGTAAAAATGATAGTAATAACTTTTAGAATATTATTTAGAGAATGGCATTTCGGCTTTCCTACACTACAAAAGTTATTATTAACTCATACCTAATTCTCCTCGAAATTAGCATTTCTCTTAGACTTGTGGGACATACTGATACAACTTTAAATTCGACTATTATCGCTATCTTTTTTACTGTATTTTGTATTATATTTTTATTAATAATTTAAGTATAATTACTTGCTATTTTAAATAACAGATATGTAATCTGTTATTTTACGATAACTTATTTATAGACACATTATGTAGATTTATTCTTATTCGTTTATTAGCTAATTAAAACCTATAAAAGAATAGTACCATTGTGCTACTTACAAATTGTATCATTTTTCTAGTTATTATTATAATAATATCTTTATTATTACTAGAATGCATAAAATACGGCATCATAGAAACGTTTTTTTATAAGGTAATTATACCTATGTATTTTGACGAGTGGCATATATATAAAACTATATAGAAATATTTAAAATTTGATTCAATATTACAGAGTATATATTTTTTGGCGATATATATAATTATATATATTTCTATAGTCCTCTATTTGCACAGGTCCAAGGGTCGATTTCGTCTAATGTTGTCGACGACTCAAAAAGTATGCATGAGCACCTCACTCTTTTCAGTTTCAGAATCCAAGCAGCTTTCTTTGTAACCTGTTTTGGATGTAGCGTGAAATTATAACACCTTAGTTCTCTGGAATAGCAACGCATGAGTGTCGTATGTTTATGATATAGGTGGGTACATATAGGCAACAGTTTTTGTTTATTATCAGGTGCCCACCTGACTTCTGATCGACAGTTTGTTTGTAATTGCAATTACATAAAAAAAACTGTATTTATATACGTTAGCTCCGTAATTATGGTAAGTCTAGATAACTGTACAAATACTTGGACTAAGAGAAACAACAGGTAGAGTCAATAATATTACTACGCTGTTTACTAGAACAAAAACAAATATGCAACGCTTAGATTATGTAACGGTTATTTTGGTGCGAATGAATATAAAATACTAACTATTAGCCATTTAGTCGTGAAATGGTAATAAACACATATACATATACACTCGCATAGGTTTTATAATATTGGTATGGACATCTAATATACGTAGGTAAGTTTTAAACTTCGTTTCTTAGAAATGTGTTTGAATATTTATAATTTTAGCTAAAAATGTCTAATATGCATATTGTTAAATAATAACGCAAAAGGAAGTTTACTGATTGGAACATGTGAATAGAATTAGACGCGACGAAAATACTTGAAGCGTGACTTATTTAGTAGATGTTAATATTTAATTTATACTTTATATTTTTATATTGATATGTTCTAGATGATATTTTAAGAAAATAGTCTTTTTAAGAAAATGATTACACTAGAATAGTTATGTACCTAATTCGATTAAAAATATGTAAAAAGTTTAAGTACAGTTCGGAGGTCTGTAAGTAGGTACTTAAAATAATTGCCAATTTTAGTGTCGTGCAAGGTCGGAATGTCGTAAAGATTAATTTTATGGCCATTTTATGTCACCAGCTATGTGAGTTTGACGAAAAATATTCAGCGATATCGGACAAGTTTCCTAATTGTAATCGAGTTTTAGAAAAATATTATGAACATAATTTCAGTACACCAATTAAGTATGACAATCAGTCAATATTTTTAACTGTTTTATCATTTATATTAGTTATAAATATCAATTGACTTGAAGTGCATAAAACTGTTTATCTTGTTGTTATGACTACTATAATAAACTATTATCATATCAGGCACGATAATTTCTATTCATAAATGATAAATAAACAACTTTCGATTATCACTCTAATTAGATATAACTCACTTCATTTAAATCTAGTTTAACACAACAGTTTCTAAAAAAATTAATACGTCTCCTAATAAAACAACAAAGCAAGTGTAAGGATTGTCTTGCCGGCGTTAATACCGAGCATAAAACATGAATCTTTTATGTTTCACGCAATTTAAGTGTATAACTGATGAAATACTTACAAGTTAGAACGTTTTTCAGAGTCTCGGCGAATTTCGCGCGCGTTCGCTTTCAGTTATAATTTGCTTGGTTACTTTTCGAGGCAATAACTGTGCGACACGTGCTACCGTGTCTCGATACAATAGAGTACTGACTTGTTTACTACGCTACGCCCGCCGCCCGCCCGCCCTAATGTCGAAGCCCTATCGGATAATAGTATGGCTAAAGGGGTAACCATACTGATTGCTCTCGGTACGTGAGATATTGCAGCTTACCCGTGTTTGGTACACAATGTTGTCCAAGGATGTAGGTGTCTGTAATTGGTAACGAGTTTCTGTTTGCCTTATGTAGAGAACTCTATTTTATAGTTCATTTCTGTTATATATGTATCTAGTAGCGTTGTCAAATACGAGTATGCCTGTATTTTTATTTCAGTCATAACTTGTTTGATAACTTAACTAGTAAAATATTCAGGTTAATGTCTAGTTAGTGATAGAGTTTATTCATTGAGTATCATATATCTATATATTGGGTTTATATATATATATAAAATCATACTAAACCATAATAGAAATATAATTATCTAGGTACTTAGTAAATAATTTGTTAGTTAATTTAATTATGAAGTTATTTACGTTTTGAAATTTTAGTCAAAGTTAAGAAATTATGCTATACTACAATAAAATTATTAGCGATTCAGATACGATCAAATACATCAAATCATATTTCTGTCAAATTAACCATTCATTGCCATTTGCCATTGATAGCAATAAACTCAGTGAAAATATTAGGCTGTTAGGCCCATCAAAGTTCTGGAGTAAACGTAAACTATAACGTTTGCGGTGCATTTTACCAGATAACTGCCTAACCATTATGTCTTTTTTAATTCTCATAGATTTTCAATATCTACTAAAAACAATTTTCGAAATCTGTAAAATTTGACAATAGTTATATTATATGCGTATTCATAAGGATGAATGTTATACAGCTGAGTGAATGTTCTACAAAGCTCATGAATTTAACCTTTGCTGGTTTATGACAAAAATTGCAAGCAGTTGCTTCATAAGATACGTTCTGAGATTAAACAATTTAGTACTCAGATGTATAGGATTGGACACTGGGGGCCATTACAAAAAATATAATAAAATTATAATAATTAATTTCAAACTTCGACCATATTACCGAACTGTGGCTTAATACTCGTGAGTTAGGATTGAAAGTATGCTTATATAAGTTTTTTCCTTGATGGATTAGATATATATTCAAAGTGAAACGTCAAGGTAGCAGGATTGTTTTTCGAAATATTTTACGTAAATCCTGACAATAAACAAAAAATCGCTATGATTGAAATTTATGGCGGGATTGTCCTTATGTAAATATGATTTATGCGATACGTGTGACAGCCTCCTAAGGTCTATACTTCTAAACAATCGTGACTTTTGAGCGTTTAGTACTTGGTTTTCAGCCAAAACTTACCAAGGTTGCTGCCTGGTGTAATTAATAAGCACCTCACACTAGTATTACCTACTATGTTTGGTGGGAATCGAGTGGTGGCAAAGAATTAAAAAATATATAATACTTTGTGTGACATATTTGTACGCTAAGATGATACTTGTTGCTATCGATTGCATTCGCCGTCTTGAATTTATGATTACTTCTCCATTTTTGGACTTCAAAGTAGCTTCCTGGCAATTTTCATTTCCATAGAGTATATAAATATATATTATCTAATAATTTATATAATTTCACCGAATTACGCTTTGCAAATTGTCGTCTACCTGGGACCTATGACTACTTATTTTAGTCGACTAGAATGTTGTTCTGTAATCTATGTTTCGGTAGGATAAATCATGAAATTACCTGATAAGATGACATCTTACTCCTCAAAACATGAATTGCCAAGTGCGTCACGTATCAGCGTGATGCTTATGATTCTTATTATCTGGGGTGATGCCGTTCATGTATATAGACGACGGTAAATGGTTAATGGATGGTAAATGGTAACCCATTTACCATCAGGTGGGTCTTCAGCATATTTACTATTACAGTTACATAAAAAATATGAGTACTGTAATGTATTGTTATAGAGATGCTAGATGTTTGTTATGTACCTACTAATAATATCGTATATGTTAAAGTTTGTGAAGATGTTAATACGTTCATATGGATGTTTGTTATAGTTTCAATAAAAAGAAAATAATCACATTCTAGATTAAAAATTATGCTTTTTATCCAATATATTACGGGCCGTACCGTAAGCTAAAGCTGATATAAGAATTATTTGAAAACTATGTCATTTTGATTACGCCTTCACACCTTAAGTGCGTAACTAATCATTATGAAAATTCACATTTACATAGAAATTGCAAGATGAAAAAGGACATAATAGTATGTCAATTTATATCTCGGACAAACACATGACCGTATGGCTGTATGGGCAAAATTGCGGCCAAAAAATAATTCATTATAATATTTTTATCACATTATCTAAATACTTAAAACATATCGCATTATATTTCGATTATTCTGTAACTGGAAATACAAGCATACGGGAAAGTACCCGTACTCTACCTGATGGGAAGTGGTAACCATCGCCTATAAATGAACAGCACCACGGAAATCACGTTATCATGTCGTGGTACGGGTACCACTCATGCGTTGTTATTATATTCCGTAGGATTAAAATGCCTCTGTACTCTATAATTTCACTACTGTATTTTTTATTGAGGGTTTTGGATTATTGTCTGGTGCTAAGGGCCTCTAGTATTGCGACCTGCTTGTCATCTATTGTGTTCGCCCTCTTTTCAAAGTTCGCTACCTAGAAGAACGTCAGGGACAAGAATTGAAGGATATTCCTAGGAGCGATGGTTTTTATCTAGAGTGTACTTTCCAAAGGAGATATTTCGTTTATGCATGCAACCATATAGGATGTGTAGTGACGTTTCCTCTTCAGCTTGGCAAAATCTGCAGATTTTGTTGAGGTACGTCTATGTTTGCTATGCGTATATTCAATTTGCCCTCAAAGGGCCTTAGTCTTGATGCATGTATTGGTTTTACTCTATAGCTATAATCTATTAGAGTAATGATTCGGGTGGCCCGTTATTGTTACCCGGCTTTTGAATGTACTAATCCTGTAAATTCACTACCATAACTCAGCTTACAACTGAAATACATCTTATAAAGGCAAACAAATTACTATGTATAAAGTACATCTCAGTAGAAGTACATTAGTGTCAATAAAAATAAACTTATGTTTTGAATGAATATATTGTGATCACTATACTTATGTGATTCTAATTCCAGATGGGTTAGACAGAGTTGTTATGTCGTGTTGCTTTCTTGGAGAACGTTTATTCTCATTTCGTTGAGCATAAATTTTAATACAAGATGGCAGGGTTAACGAGCTTTGCAACGATGTTTAATATTAGCGAGGAGTTCGAAGACTTTAATATTACCAGTAGGTACATGCAACATTTTGTCGTCTGTTACATACGATCAATCTGATTAATCTTCTTAAACAGTAACGTTATATGACTATGACTTACTAGATATTATATCTATATCATTATTTGGGGTTTCCCTATTACTATATCTTAGTTGTTTTTACACTTATGGATTGATACCTGCCTAGTGTTGCCAATCGGTTTGCCTCGACACATCATTAAAAGAATGTCTAGCGTTAAAGAAAGACCGTCATTTACAGGGTTTAGCTCTCAGTCGTCAATTCTTTCAAACTCAAAACTTAACTCAAAATTGTAGGATATTTTCGGTATACTTATGCATATATATATTTTTTACTCATTGTTCCATCAGGTTGTTCAGTTGATATGAGAAGAACTGGCAAGTGACTGGTAAATTTTTATATTATTTTTTTTATTAGATTCAATCTAAAAAGAAGCATTAAGGTCAAATAGTGTATATGTCTAATATTATAAACGCGAAAGTTTGTGAGTATGGATGGATGAATGTATGTTACTCTTTCAAGCAAAAACTAGTAAATGGATTTTAAATGAAACTTAAATATGAAATACCTAGGACACCAGAATAACACATAGGCTATAAATATAACGCGGGCACAACTAGTTACTCAGTAGTTTAAAATATCAAAAATCACTTTTTTGATCAACTAACGCCAGGCAAGGTTGTCTCTAAAATTATTTATCTTTCTGTGATTTACTAAAGTATAAATGGTAAATTGTTAAATTGATTGTTGGCCGATATACCCTTTCTTAACCCAACTTATAATGAATTTTGGCAAGAAAACCCAAAGAAACATGCAAGTAAGGCGCTACAAAGTTATAGTGATTTCAGCGATGGAATTACTGATTAATAAGCGATAACCATCTGCTAATGATCCATTGTTGGCTTTATGTATTATTATTCATTGCAAACTACTCGTAGGTACGTGTATATGGGAACTGGATACGAGTTCAGAATACTAATTGATGTCCTAGACTCTGCCAGGAGTCGACGAACCTATGATGGTATAGAAGAATATGCATCTTGAGCGATATACCCCTAGATATGTATACATGGCACAGATAACACAATATTACAAATGGTATGGGGAGGAACCATTTCATTTTATTGCCATATCTTGAATCAAACCGTAGATATGGTGATAAAAAATAGTCTTACGAATATTATAAATGTGAATGTTTGTGAGTAAGGATGGATGTGTGTTACTCTTTCGTGCATAAACTACTCACGGATAGTCATAGATACTAACAGATTTTGATAAAACTTTTCAGTAGTATAGCTTATACATTAGGATAACACATAGGCTATATATTTTACGCGGGTGAAACCACGGACAGAATTAGTATATAGCATAATAATGGCAAGAAGTAAGCTGTGAATAATTTTTACTTTGACTATAGTTCAGCTATCTACTACTCATGACTTTGTACGTGTAACCATGAATGGAGTATGTTATTTCCTTCCCTAACTCTAATGCTACTTAAATTCAAAAGGCAATTGGTTAAACCATTAAGGACTGGCATTAACAAGCATACTAGTTATATAACATTTTCTCATAAATTATATTATCTTTGGTATACGAATTTGATATTAATTTCAAAAGCCATTTGGAATTGATTCCAAGAATTTAAAATTAACAGGCTAATGTAATTATAATTAGCA